CGATTCAGTGGAGAAGACGACGATCCTGGTCGTCAGCTGCGCAAGTGGCGCCAATGGGTGCAAGCAAAGATGTACACCATGGAGAAGCTGACGGCCAAGCAACAAGGACCCTTCCTGTACACGCTCTTGGATGGGAAGGCGCTAGAAGCAGTGGAACACCTGGAGCTGAGCAGCATCCAAGTGGATGACGGAGCAGACAAGATCCTTAAGATCCTGCAGGAAAGGTTTCCTGAGAAGGAGGCCCACGACCAGATGGGAGAAGCACTCGGTGAAGTGTTTGGTCTGGCAGCTAGGGAAGGCGAGACGGTCCAACAGTGGACTGCGAGAGTGGCTGAGGTCTTCACCAAGTGCCACCGAAAAGCAGACGTCAAGTTCCCTTCTCCGGCTCAAGGGTGGATCGCTTTGAACTGTGCTGGCTTCAGCGAAGAGCAGAAAGCGATCATCAAGGCCAAAGCTCAGGGCAAACTTGACCTTGAAGCAGTTACCTCAGCCATGAGGTCTTGCTTTCCACTGTACAAGGCTGGCGCGAGGGCCAGGAAGCCTACGGCGACGCTGGTTGTGGAGCCCGCAGAGAACCCGGACAGCGGCGATGGCCTGGACGACTTTGCGGACGTCGAAGCTTTCTTGGCGGACCACAACCAGCGGGACACAGAGCTCGAGGATGCTATTCCGGAAGACGAGGCCGCAGAAGCTTTGGCTGCTTCGTGGAAAGAGCGTCGCGCGGAGATCGCGAAGATGCGAAAGGAACGCAAATTCGACTCTGCCCAGAACAGCAAGAAGTCTTTCCGCGTCGAGATCGAGGAACTCAAGCGACGCACTCGATGTCGCAAATGCGGAAGGATAGGGCACTGGGCTAGAGAGTGTCGGAGTTCGGGATCTTCAGCTTCGAAACCAACGTCGTCTTCGACAACAGGTGCCGTCGAGGCACAGCTGGTCGAGCAGGAGGTCTCGCTCGCCCAGGTTGACGCCGTCGAGTCCGTGGACGTCCCCGAGGTGATGTTCGTTGGCATGGCTCAGCAAGCAGAGACGCAGGTGCTAGCTGCAGGGCTTGTCTCATCGCCCGGCTATGGGGTGGTGGACAGCGGATGTGGCCGGACGCTCATCGGCATGGACACCCTTGAGCAGCTAAAGAACAAGTTGGCGCTGGTCACAGCAAAGAAGGCAGAGCACTACGACACTGTCAGCTCCTTCCGTTTCGGGAACGGCGCTACCGAGGTTTCCGAGCAGGCCGTCAAGATCCCTGTGGGAATCGGTGGCGTGCATGGCATCATCGACGCTGCCATCATCAAAGGGCGGGCCCCCCTGCTCTTGGGACGACCTACTCTGGAGAAGCTCCGGGTCTCGCTGGACTTCGCAGAAAAGACGATGAAGTTCCTGCGTGACCAGACCACCGTCCCCATGCAGGTGAATGAGGCTGGCCAGCTCCTCATCAATGTCCTCGACTTTCCCAAGGGTGCATCGCAGGCCTCAGTCTTGCAAGCGCAGGCACAAGCAACGCAGTTGTGTCCAGACAGTGTGTGTCACGAGCAGCTTTCTCAGTGCTTGACGCCTCCTGAGCCTCACCCCAACTCTGTTTCTAGGGTTCCTAGGCACCCTAAGTCAAAGAAAGCCCTTAAGAACAAGCATGCGAAGTGTCTTTTGGCCCAGCTAAAACACCTGGACGCAAGCCGCTCCGCACAGGTTTCCGTGGCAGAGCTCTTTTCGCCTCCGTGCTTGACGCGGGAGGCACAGGCACACGGAGCGACAGGGCTAGCCTTTGATAATAAACAGGGTTACGATTTGGGAGACGCCGAGACACAGCATGAAGTAGAACAGTTGCTGGAAGAAGCTAGACCAGAGTTGCTTACTGCGTCACCCCCGTGCACTCCTGTGAGTGACAACATGTGCCCCAGGACTCCTTTGGAGAGAGCCCGCCTGCTGAGAGTGAATCGTCAGCACATCCGTTTTTGTGCCAAGCAGATCCATCGTCAGCTCGCTAGGGGTGGACACTTTCTTCTAGAAAATCCTGTAGGCTCTAGGTTGTGGAAAGACCCCCAAATAGAGCCCCTTGTCAATAAGTATGG